CTAATAAACAAATTGTGATATATCCATATAATGGAATATTATTTAACCATAAAAAGGAATTAAATGTGGATACATGGTACAACATTGAACCTTGAGAACAGTATGCTATGTGAGCAGAGCCAGATACAGAAGGTCATATTCAGAATAGGTATTTCCATAGAGACAGGGAGCAAATGAGTGGTTGTCAGGGCCTGGGGCAATAGATATGGTATTCTTTTGGTGTGATGAAAATGTTTTGTGACTAGGTAGAACTGATGATTGCAAGATATTGTGAATGTACTAAGTGCAACTGAATTGCACACTTTAAAATGGTTAATTTTGTATTCTATGAATTTTACCTCAGTAAAAAGAAATGGAAAGAAAGCTCACGGAGTTCCCTAGCTAGGCTGCTACATTCTTTTACCTTTCAAAGTTTAAAAGCATCTTTAATTTGTTTTGTTGTTGTTTGTTTAACTTAGCTGGAAGTATTAGGGAGAAATTCATCTATTCCATCTTGTCTCTAGAACAATATTAGACTCACCTTAGTAGCATTTTAAAAAGACTAATGTTTGATCTGCATCCCGGGCCAATTTAATGAGAATGGGGGAAGGGTGGAGGAGGTGAGTTGCATCAAGACAAAAAAATTTTCGCAGATTATTCAGATGGTGACCATCATTTTGAAGCACTGTTTGAAACACATATTTCCTGCCATTGATGAGTTTTGCAAATGGCTATTTGACCCACTGAAACATGCAAGGAAGCTCTTTGTAAGTTAACCTTACGTGGAAGGTTGTTCTTTTGAACATTGTCATGTATTGATATGAATTTTGAAATTGCTATGATCATCTTACTAACCTCTTACAAATGCAGCCAACACCAGGAATGCAGATAAGAATGATGGAAAGAAACCTGGCACCTGATTACATCTCACATCTGCTGAACTAGCCTACTCTAGAATCTGTTCTCTCTACTTTCCACTGTATGAAAAAAATATATGTCCTTACCGTTTCAGCTCTGAGTTTTGGTTCTAACTAGTAGCTAAAGCTACCAAACTTCTATAACTAATGAGAGAAAAACTTAGTTGTAAAATACACCATTATTACTAACTTGTTTTCCTAATACTTGTCTCATATAAGTAATACTGCAGTGAACATATTGGTATGAATAGCTATTTCACCCAATATTGAATTTTATTTTTCACTCAGGTTAGGGTACCAAAAGTAGTCATTATTGTTACTGCCCTTGTGTAATATTTCCAAAGTGTTTTCCCAACAGCTTATGATTACCTACAATGTGAGCAGCATTACCTATTTTTTTTATCTTACTCATTGGATTTTATTTTTTGGATTGTTATTTGCTCATAACATGTCATTATAGTTTTCCACTTTGATTTCTTTTACTGCTGTACATGTTAATAGTTTCTCCACATTTTATTTATTAGTTATATTTCTTTTTAGAGAATTATCTAGTCATTCCCTTTGTACCACAACTTAGTAGCTATGGGACTTAGGGAAGTTATAATTACTCTTACTAAAGCAGTAGGATAATAAATAATGCCTACATGATAGAATTAGTGTGAGGTTAAGATGATATATTTTTCTAAAATTCTCTGTATAGTTTTATAATTAAAATAATTCTCAGTTTGCTACAAAGAATTTTCACTGTTTATGTTTCCCTTTATGTGACATTATTTATTTCACACATACAAATTTTAAATTGTATTTAGTCAAATACGTCACTTTGTAGTCATAATTTAAAGATAATAAAAACAGTAAGACAAATGATACGGATATATATATTAGTTTAATGTGGCAACAATGTGAAATTACAAAAATACCATGATAATAGCTTGAAAGCAGAAGGCATTTTCAATCAGAGGTTTTCCTGTATGTTCATCTTTACTATGTACTCTTTGAACCAGTTTGCCTAAAAGTTAGACTTTTTAAAGTACTATGTAACATGTGGAGTGTTTATACTCAACAAAGTCATTCATATGGAAACAGTTGCTGACTTACAAAAAGAGGAGAAAAGTCCAAGTGTTTAAAAATCTGAAAGTATATTGCCTATCAGTTTGATTTCCTTTTATTTTTCTTCCAGAAACAAGATCAGGGGCAAGTTCTGTTGGATATAGTCTTCAAGCATCTTGATTTGACTGAGCGTGACTATTTTGGCTTACAGTTGGCTGATGATTCCACAGATAACCCAGTGAGTTTAAGCTGTTGTCTGTCATTGTCATTTCAGTTTTTCTCTCTTCATAATAAGTCCATTCTGATTTATAATGTTCACTGATTTCGTGATTTTAAAAAAAAATTTAATTTAAATGATTAGTGGTAATTCGTTTGTCTTTGAACCTCATTTTCCTGATGTTTTAATCTGTTAGGTTATTTACTTAAGGTTTTCATAATTATGTCAGTTTCTTTTTCTGTATGTCTCAGACAACTGACAAGTAAATCTAATTCATGCTTCTTGGAGAGAATATTGGGCATAAAGGTTAAAATGTTAATGTTAAAATATTGAAGTAAATATTTAAAATATTTTAAAATATTAATGTACTTGGAATCTTTAGCCTGAATTAAGATGAAATTAGTTTTTTGTGGCATTCATGGCAAGCTGTTTCTAACCAAATATCATAATTTATTAAATTATAACTTTTCCAGTTAGGAAGATTTAAAGGAGACCCTTCCAAATGAGATAGAGATTAAACATCGTGGTCTACAATTCTTGGGCATTAATTATTAAGTTCCTTAGACTGTTAACTAATTCCTCAGTAAATGCAATAATGGTTCTTTTTATTGGAAATAATCACATCGTAGAAATAAAAGATCGCATGTGATGAATAACAAGTAGTGAATTCTTTGTAAATTTATATGGTTATACAGTCAGGATTTTTCACAAAAGAATTGATATCCTTTTAAGTAGTAAAGGAGAATGAGTATTTCAAAGGAAGCATTTTGTGTAGTTGAGAAAAACTGGGAGGCTGAAAAAATGGTTCTCTGAATCAGTGCTTTAGAAATCAGTTTCTAAGGCATTATTAAAGAATGACTATTGAAAATAAAAATAACTCTTATGAGAAAAGTGGGGTTTCTCTCTATCTCTTGTTCTTGCTCTCCTTTTCTCTAATGGTTAGGATCCTATGTGTCTGAATGAATGGTTAGTGGGAAGTAAATATGAAATGTTAAATATTACTTTTCTTGGTGTTACTTATTGATTTTGTGTGAAAAACTACTAGCATGATATGGATAAAATAAAGCAAGGGCCAGCTAGTCTTAGTGAAAATAAATCCTTTTGTACTTAACTGAAATAAAAACAAACTTTCCTCATACTTTCATGACTTCACCAGATGAGTTGAGCTGTTCCAAGGGTCTAGAGGAATCATATTATTTCTCAATAAATAAACACATGTGAAAATGGAAGTGAGTAGAAATGACTGTCATGCAACCTTTCACAGGAAGATGAATTGTTAACCAGACAAATACCTGAAAGGTGTCTGCTGCACATCACTATGTGCAATATTGAGATTTAAAAAATAAATAATTCTTAGTTTATCTTGCTGACACTTATAGGTCAGATCCTCTTGATATAAGCCAGTCTTTAGATTGATTGGAGAAGTGACAAGACAGCAAAGGATAAAGAGACCAGCTACTTATCACCATAGTTACTCCCATGAGTATGAAAAATGGTCATTCTTGAGAAAGTCTTCTAGAAGGACTAATATTGAGATCACATATATTACAAGAAATAAAAATTCTTATCACATAAATTTGTATATAAGAAGGCATTTCTACTCTAAAACAGTTACAGCAGGATAAATGTGAGGAAGCAGAGGTATTTTGAGCTGGGCTGATCTTTTTGTTATTTACTACTTTTTTCTTACTTTGTTTTACTTTTCTGTCTTGAGCATTCCTTCCCAAATAAGATACATTCCCAGATCCAAAGGAACAGTTGCTAATGATCCAAAATAATTCTTCTCCCCAAATATAATTTTAAAGATGCAGAAGAAGCCTAAGAGATTATTTTGTCTACTACCTTTATTTTTTATAAGAAATTACCACAATCAAAGGAGATAAAACCCAATCTACTTGCTGGCATTAATGGGACTTCACTTGGATCTCCTAACTCCCCCTGCAAGTCCTTTCCACAGCACTACAACTTCAGTATTTAAACATTCAGAACAATCTGTGAAATGCTAAAACATGTGTAAGGAAGGACCTTTAGAACACAAATGTAATTATTGTCCCATTTCTGATAGTCAGTATGAAACTTATCAAGAATTTGAGGATAATTAATGGACTGAGAGAAAAAGATGCCATTTCTAAGAAGAGAAAGGAGAAAGGGAGTAACATTTATGAAAAATCTATTGTGCTTCTTAGTAAACCAAATTCTCACAATAATCTTATGAAAGTATCATTAAAATTCTCTTAAAAATGAAAAACTGGGGCTTACAAAACTTGTTTAATTACATAGATAATTAAATAGCTGAGAAAGGATTTAAATTCATACCTATCTGACTCCAAAGCCTGTATTTTCTCTATGACAAAGTGTTGTTTGCCAAGAGATAATAACATAGACACACAGGACTTACAAAAAGAACATCTAGAGGAGAGGAGATAATAATGCAATAAAATTGCCACAGTGATCAAAAGGAATTTGGTAATATTCCTAAAGAATTAATCCTTGTCAATTCTTATTAGTTCAGAGTTTTTCCATCTTAAAGCTTAATCTATGTTATATATACATATGTATATTATGTGTAAATGTATATGTTGAATATATATTTTATGTATATGATATATATTAGTTTTAGAGGATCAGAATTAATATTGTCTTAGGCACATAGATACAGAAGTTAATTTAATTGGATTTATAATTGATAAACTAAAAAAGCACCTAGCATTTTATTGTAGATTTATACATAACAAACACACTATCATAGTTGACTGTTCCTTGCTTTAGAATCTTCCTTGGCATTTAGTTCCAGTGCAACAAACAAAATTACTTGAAGAAAAGCTTTGACTTTTTGAAATTTATTCTCCTTTCTTTTAAAACCTGTTTATCATAGTTTTAGCTCTTAGTATGTCTTATGTAGTAGTAGTATTCACTAAATGTGTATTGAATGAGTGAACAAAATAATGAGTAACATGATTGTAATTCATTATCCATAATTTAATTTTATAAGCACTTAAAGGTGGCTGTCCCTTAGCAGCCTTTATCAGCATGATAGTCATCAGAGCCTTGACATTGTATTACTCATGTGCATCATGAGTAGTATGTTTGCTTTTTTTGGTCCCCAGAGTGAGTTACAGTGCCATTCAGTGGGACAAAGAGTAGATTATCGATTACTGTTGACTTATTCTTTCTGCAGTTTCATCCTTCTTATAGTTTGTGCTGTGGTTAAAATATTGTACTGGTTTTCTTCTGTTTCCATATCCCCTAAGCTTGTAGGCTTTCAAACTTGAATTTACATCAGAATCACCTGAAGTTCTTAAATTACAGATTTTTGGGCCCCATGCCTAGAGTTTCTGATTCAGAAAGTCTGGTGTGGAGCTCAGTAATTTGCATTTCAAACAAATCCCCCTATAATGCTAATGCTGCTAGTCTAAGGAACCACATTTTGAAAATCACTCCTCTAACCCAATGGCTGTTAATTAAGACTACTAATGTAGGAAATAATTCAATAAGAATAGCTTGGTCTATCATTTGAAGATTAATTTTACATAACTCAGACTTCTTGGATTCCTTTATCAGATTTGAGAAAATATAGAAGTCACATGGAGGATGACTGGTATTTTGACAAGCCATGTTTTAGCATGAGCAGAGAAGTATTTCAGAGAGAAGCAGTAACATGTGAAGTTCTAGAGTGAAGAGAGAGGACTGTTGCATTTGAGGAACTGAAAAAAAAAACAAACAAACCCTTAATTCCTGTCAATGGAGTATAGACTAGGAAGAGCAGATGAATCAAAGATGAGAGTTGAGTAGTGCAATAGATCATCAAGTGCTTTTAATTAATACTGGCCTAAGGATTTATTTACACAAGTAACATGAAACTTGTATTTTAGTCTTACCACCCTGGTTACGGAATAGCCAGTGGCAAAGTTGCAAACTAGAGACAGTTGGGAGATTGTTGTGAAAGTGAAGTCACTAGATTGGCTGTGGGTGGTGAGTAAGTGCTCAAGATATTTAGGAGATAAAGTCAACAGGACTTGCTGATTTGATTAAGGCAGAGTAGGTTCATGGGGAGAGAATGAATTCAAAGAATTGAATATATCTCAAATTCTGTCTTTGGAATCTTGGTAGATAGACGAACCATCCACATGGTATTGTTGGTTTTCTTTTTCAGGTACCAAGTGTTTATTGCTGGCATATAGAAATACAGTTTATTTTGTATTATACAACCTTCCTATTAATTAATTCTAGTCATTTTTTGTAAATTCCCTAGGATTTTCTACATAGATTGTCATGTAAACATATGGTAAATTATATTCACTTAAAAATTTTAAACCAACTTTGTATTCCTGAGATAAACCAGGATATACAATGGATTCTACATTAATCTTGTTTCTTAAGACCTTGCTAAATTCACTTGTCACTTCTGGTAGTTTTTTTGATTGATTCCTTAGGATTTTCTGTACAAATCATGTCATATGTGAATAGGGACAGTTTTACTTCTTCCTTCCCAGTCTTTATTCCTCCCCCCGCCTACTATTTTTTCATTCTTTATTACATAGCTGAGACTACCAGGGCAATGCTAAATAGAAGTGATGGGAGCAGACTAACTAGACTTGTTCTCTGTCTTGGGAAAGTATTCGGTGTTTCACCATTGTGTGATATTAGCTTATGGGGTTTTTCAAAAATCAGTATAAAGAGATATACTTTGCATAGAATAAAATTCAACACCCATTCATAATGAAACCTCTTAAACTTAGAAAAGAAAGGAACATTCTTACTCTGATAAAGGACTAAACATTTACAGGTTATGTCAAGGAAATGTAGAGTAAAAACCACAATATCACTACACATTCACTACAATAGATGAAAAATTAAAAACATATAAAACCAAGTTTTGGCAAAGATGTAGAGCAACTATTAAGAATTGCTAGTAGAACTTCAAAAAGATACAACCACTTTGGAAAGTATAGTTTGGCAGTTTCTTATAAAATTTTTAATATACACCTCTAAGCAACTCCACTTTTGGGTGTTTATCCAAA